TTATCGTTTGAAGAATGTTTGTTTTTGTTCTGACCATAAAATCTAGACAATTTGTTCGTATAATCTGGAAATTTATCAAATATGATAGAAGCAGAAGAAAAATTAGATCTTTTTTTGGTATACAATGAGATGAATTCAGTCTAAAAAAAAAGAAAAGAAGAATAGTTGAGTTTTTTTTTTTTTTATACATTATCAAATTATAAGAAAAATAAAAACTAATTACAAATGAAATATTCGAGAATCAAAATGATCTTAATTTTGTTTTATTTAAGCAAATTGATTGATTAGATAGAAAAAAGTGTTATGTTTTTGAATACTAATCAAAGTGATAGTTATGAAAAAACATTTCACTGATATCATGAAAATCAATTGCTTCTATTTGAAAGATATTCTTCCTAGATATCGGTACTTTTGATAGGACATAGCTCATTATGAGGATGGGAGACATATATATGCGACCGGTTTCAAATCAATTCTTAATTGATTTGCGCATATCCCTAATGATGTTATTGTGATCTCTTGTAGCCCATACATCGTCAATCTGTTACACTGTCATTAGCATTGTGATTTGAATAAATATATCCCATCAGGGTTTCGAGAATTTCCATTGTTTTCTTAAAAATAATTCTATTCTCACGAAGTTAAATAAATTAATGCTTTTTTTTCTTTGAAATATAAAATAATGATTTATATTACAGATTTTCTTTATTTTTATTGTTTTTTCTGCTTTTGTAAATTGTTGCATTTATTGGTTGTATGTATATACATCGCTAATTATCAATATTTTTCTTGGTGTCTTTATTTTTCAAAACATATTCATTACTAATGAATACGGTGATCAAGTTGATTTATATAGAAATTTTAATTTTAATTTTGTTTTTTGCTTTAAATATTGACTCATCTTAAACAATAATGTATAATTAAGAAGAATATCTTGATCTGTCAATAGAAATCATCGTAAAACAAGAATTTTTTTCCATGATTCTTATTGGAGATTTAGTGTTTTTATTATATTTATCAACTTAGATGGATTTATTATTATTTTTTTGTTAAAGATTAAATGTTTGTTCATCTAAGTTATTATATAAAATGCATAATTCTATTTTCATTGCTAAAATCTATTCTAATCGTCTTGTATTTTTTATCAAGTAGTAATTGTACAATCAATAAATTTGTTGTTGTCAAGTATTTCATCGCTAATCGTTTATTTATCTTGAAGAATTGAGCAATATTCTAAATCTCATTCTAAATGATATGAGCTACATGAATCACAACTAGATTATTTGATTATATTAGTTAATAAGAATATTTTTGTTGGTATCATTCATATATTGGATTTAGTTGAGCTTATTGTTGATACCTTACTTAATAGTATGAAACTCAATAAAATGAATAAAAATCGACGACATTTGATGATGTTTTTTTCTTAGATTTTAGATGAAATCTCTAGTCAAAGTTTTTGATAATGTTTCTGATTGTGTCGGATATTTAATTATGAATGAAGATGGTTCGATTGAACATAATCATGGTGATTTACAAAATAATGAAAATGCTGCAAATTTAATTTATAAAATGATTTTTTGTGTGTATCAAAAATAAGTATACATCCAACAGAACAAATGGCATTTAAACGATTTACAAGTTAGAAATTAATATTCGAATTTTTTAAATTTAATTTAAATAATTTTTAGTTTCAAATGATCATTATGTCGATTGTATTTCTTGTGCCAATCATCGAATTTATGTTGCTAAACGTCGAAAAGAATCATCGACGATTGCTTGAAATTTTTGCATTATCTTGTTTTTGTATGTAATTCATGATGAACTCTCGTTTTCTGATGATCGCTTTGAAAGATAGAAATACAGTTTTCGTTATGTTTTTTTTCCAAATAATGATTAAAAGAAATTATTTTATTACGGTTTTCGAAATGTATTTCTATTGTTGAGCGTATCTCAATAGATTTTCAAATTCTATTAATTGCAATAGAGCATTTTCATATATGAGGATTTGCGTCCTCATAATGAAAACCATTGATATACATATATAATATAGGGGAGAACAGACTTCTCCCATTAGATATCCTCAACCATATATACTAAAAGTCTAGAAAGATGTGGTCATGTACTCTGCCAAAAAATATGAATCACACATATGATTTCGTCACAATTATTTAAACGCAAAGAAATTTATAAACGATGGCATCTATATATTTTTGTATTGAGCTTTTCAGTGTGAAAAGATTGTCTACCAGATTTTGCATTGCTTTTTAGCAAATACATTATTAATTCTGGACATATTTATATGAAATTGCAGTCCAGTCTACAGTTTTATTTTGTTAAAAAAGGACGAACTTATTTGATCGAATATTGATATTTACAAATGTTTTTGCTAACTTATTATTAATACGATGTCCATCGATGTGTTATTTCTGTTGAACAGAAGATTCGTTTCTAAAAAGTCTGGACGTAGAAGGACAGAAGATCTACAGTCACATCTTTTGATATTTGATGTATTGAAATGGAGAATGATAAAGACTGGAAAAAATCGAAATGCAACTGTCCAGCTTCTTTTGAAGAATTACATATGCAAACATGTTGTTAATATGATTATTCATTTGAAATATTGCAAACCAGTAACAGCAGCAAAAAAAGCAGTGCCGATCGGTAAGAAAAGAAAAAAGATAGATCAACAAAGACTAAACCTGCTTTGCTAGTATAATAATTGAATTTTTTGATTTTCTTTTTTTCCATTGATTCTTTGAATTCCTATTTAATGTTCTTTTGGATTTCTTCTTATTTATTCTGTGGATTTTTATTTATTCAAATTAATTTTTCTTCTAAGGTTTAGAGAATTCAAAATTACAGTAAAGATTTTTTTTTTT